AAAAAAAAAAAAAAAAAAAAAAAAAGATGCAACTGTTTCCCAATGACTGAACAGCCTCATTTAAAAAAAAAAAAAAAAAAGCTTTCATTTTGCTAATGCAGCTATTCTTTGAGATCATAAAGTTCAAGAAGTTTCAACTACTCCTTTTATACATAAAAAACAACACCAGATGTGGATTTAAGTAACAAAGACTAGCAGATGTATAAAGAATACAGCTGTCCAGAATCCAACTACTCTGCTTCAATACTGGAGGAAGGAAACAGCGCCACAGACAAAGGGACCCTGCTGAGAGGCTCTCTGAGACAACCAGATCTAAACTGCTCCTGCAGAGGTGGAAAAGGATGCCATGTGTGCCAAATTCTACATTCTTCACAACAGACACTTGGGTCCAACTATTATACACTGTTACTAATCAAGAGAATACTTACCCAATATGTCCACGTTTGGTTCCAAGTAGGCACAGGGGCAGAGGTGAGAAAAATGAGCTCTTAAGCTAAAATCCAAGAACCTCTGGTTGTATGTAATAGGAAGCTGAGTCACAGGAAATCTCAGATGCCCTTTCTCATGATTTGCTTTTTCCCCCTTTCCTTACGTAGAATCATAATGAATTCACCTCCAGTTAAAAAAGAAAAAACAGGGGCCGGGGAAACAGCTCAGTAGAATAAGCGCTTGCCTGGTAAGTGCAGGGTCCTGAGTTCAATCCCCAGTACCGCAAAAAAAAAAAAAGAAAAAAGAACTGAGCTAGGTGGGCAGGAAGGTCTCCAGTCATGAAAGGAATGGAGAACACAAAGATGACAAATGATAGATGAAGGAAAAAAACATTTCACAAAAGGATGGTGAAGTTAAGAGGCCTGAAACACAAAGGAAGACTGAAGCTTGTCTACTGAAGTTCTGAGTATTCAGAAGGCACAGACAAGAACCAAACATTCTGAAGAAAAAAATCCAGCAAAACAGTTAAAATTCAGACACTTTAACAGTAGTGGAGATGGAGGTGCAGGGAAAGAGCTGTAAGCACCCCTTACAGACAAAGATCCACTTCCATGACATCATCAGGTATGCAGGGTACCACTGCACCTCCAACGTGTGTGCTCAAGTCCCACTTGGTTTTGCAGACTGTCAGCTTCCAGTCAGTTTTATACCTAAGAATAATATGTGAATTGTGGCTTAAAGTGAAACAAGACTGCTTTATTAAGCAGTAGCCTATTTACAGCCTTTTTCTTTTTAAAATGGAGACTGTCTAGGAACAGCTGAACTCCCTTTACTTTCCAAGGGCACAAAGAGAGCTGCTCTGTCCTCACCACCACAAGCAAGGGCTTCCTGGAAACCATCTGGTTTCACTTGGGTCTTACCCAAGGAACAGTCCAGTTTAAAACTTTGCCTCCTGCAGCACTCTCGTTCCTGACACGAATAGACAGCCCTTAACCCAATATCAGTACCAGGGCTATTAGGCCTCTATGCTGCCGGGATAAATATAAGCACTCAAAACTCAAGTTCATGCACTTGGCTTACAGGGGATTCCTTAAATACATATACAGAGTCTTCATTCTTTATCTTCCCAGTAAGCTGGGTTACCTACATCACTACCAGAGGGGAATACAAATGCAAAGTGCTATGCAGCAGAAAGCAGAAACAACAGGAAGTGGGTCATCCAGGTAAGGCCAGACTGGGTCAGAAGCAGGAGGCTGTCTTTAGCACTCAACACTCTGTCCAAGAGAAGCTACATGCAGAGGCCTCATTCTGGCCCAGAACAGCTCAGACATAAAAGCTACACCAGTGATGCTGAACCTCTTAGAGCTTACAATGATGCAAACAGCCTGCTGCAGCACCCATGCCATAGGTTTGCCACACTGAACTAGATTATTAAGGACAGGCCAGCAGCCTATAAATCCCCTGCTTAGGGAGGTACGGGAGACATATTTAGAGAGGCCAACCTAAAGAAAACAAGGTTAGATCTTTCAAGAGCAGGGTTTCAATCACTGAAGCACTGTTTAAGGCAACTTCCTAATTCACAAGGGTCCCATATAAATAAGGAGGGACCCGAGTTTTTACCCCCTGCATTATCAGCCACTGAAATCAAACTCTGATCAAAATCTATGTGTGAAAGCACAAGGAAGAAAGAATGAGATTCCAAAATGAACTGAATTTGATTTCATGTTTTTTTCCTGGGTGCTGGAAACTAAATCCAGGCCCTCGTGCACTTTACCACTGAGCTACACCTCCACCCCCACTTCTGCATTAATACTTTGTGGAAGCACATTTGTTTCTAATATTTCAAAGCTGGGCATGTTTCTTCACTAAAAGTACTTGCTACAATGCTTTTTTCCCTACAACACTGCCTTTCTGGACCGCACAGGAAGGGAGTTGTCAGGCAGGGCTTGGCACCCATCATTCTTTGAATGGCACCTGGGAACATGCTATGGCTGGTGCCCACCTGTTCAATCCTTGGCAGTAGCCAATATCTGGGTTCCGCCAGGAAAAGGCGAGCAGGACATTACGCAGCTTCTGGATACCCTCAGAGGTGGGGCAGGAGTAGTGCTTATTGTTGGGCAGTGTCCGAAGCAGGTCCAGCTCGATCTGTTTGGAGGCCGGGTTCTGCTTCTCCAGGGCCTTCTGCAACAAGACCTGGAAATAGTCTGGCTCCACACCATCCTTGAACTTCCTTGTGTGGAGGTCCACACACCACTTCCACACTTTGGAGCGGTGTTCGTGAGGAATGCCTGAGCGGATCAGGGTCTTCAGTTCTGGAGAGCACACCATCTCCCTATTCACTGTGCTGGCAAAATAGTTTTCCCACTTGACCCCAGTGGAAACTTCCTGGTTCTCTGTGAGGTACAGACTCTTCAGGTCCAAGGCCCGGACCTTAGCAACCAACTTCTCCTCTTCATCATCATCAGGCACAGTTCTGAACCCATAGATATCATACTCACTAAAGGAGAATGAAAGTGAAAATAAAAATAAAAATGATCTTTGCAAAAATAACCAATAAAACAGAGTAGAGAATCCAAATACTAAGCTATGTCCATGTATACATATATTACATATGACCAGGCATTTCATATAGTGAGCAAACAGTACGCTTCTTGATAAACAAGGAGAGAACAACTGCCATCTACATGGAAAAAATCAATTCCAGATGGCTCAAAATACTTAATGTAAAAACCACAAAGAAAATATAAGCAATGTCACAAAAACAAGACTGATCAACACGGCAACATCAACATGTATGTGTTTATATATCATACATACACAAGTGAATAGATTTATGCCTCAAAAGACAGGTCTCATTATGCAGCTCAGACTGGCCTTGAACTTACTATGTAGCCCAGGCTGGCCTTGAACTTGTGGTGATCCTCTTGCCTCAGCGCCCCCCGCCCCTGGGATTACAGGCATACACCACCATGCCCCGAAGAGACATCATTTTAAAGGTAAAAAAGCAAAGAAGAAAATACTTATAAGGTATTAGGGATGAACTGGTTACCCACACAGATTTCCTGTACAAAGAAAGTCCTCTATGGGCTCCCTCTGTTTCTGAATGCTTTGTGGATGCAAGTGTGTCCTAAAAAAGGCTAACATTGACCAAGCAATGGCCGTGACTCATCCACATGGCTGACACTGACAAAGGATCTACAATCTGAGGTACAGGATCTCAGGATAAATCCTGGGGGGATTTCACCGACCTTATCAGACCCAAAAGCTACAACTCTTGTTGCATAGGTCCTGCTTTATCTTGGTCTTAACCATCCAGCAGAAAAGTATAAAAACGAAGTATAAGAAGTAAAGCCATTGTGTTATGTTGAGCTGTAGGAGACTCAGGTCAACAATTTCTGACACTGCCAGTCAAGCAGAAGACCCAATACTATTATGGACTACTGGAATCTTTTAGAATATTTTGCTGAGTTAACATACCTATAATATTCAAATGACGGAACTAAACAAAAAAAGGGGATACAGATGAATGTCCATTATGTATCTGTGTATTCAAAGCGGTTAGGATAGATATATAGTTACATTCTCTTAATGAATAGAGGGATTTGTTCTAATAGTGTTTGTAAATAGGATATCACATCTGCATCTTGTACAGCAAATAACCACTAGAAAGAGAGTATACAATGTGTTAATTATTGAAACTGTCATACCAATTTGATTTGAAACTGTCTCATTGCTATATGTCTCTCAATAAAATTATGGGAAAAAAAAAAAGGCTCTCTATTCTTTGGAACACTGGCTCCTCCTGAAGCAGCATGGTCTAGAAGCAGGGTGACTTTGACATGGCACACGAGATCTGGTCCCCAGATCTACCCCTTCATGATGCAGGAGACGATAGTGCAGGATCTGTTCTGCTGACCCAATGGCACTGTCATTTTCAGACATGAGACACAGGAGTTGTGCGAAGTCCTCTGTGAAACACTACTCCGCTCAAGGGACTATAGAAAGCACCATACCCCAACAGTCACTGGCACCTTTACCTGACAAGATGAGGCTTCACAAATGCTTGCTCTGGCTGCTCCTGGCTCTCAACCTGCAGTGCGTCCTCCAAAAGCTGGGCAATGACTTCCTGGGTGGGCCCCTGTTCTTCAGAGCACACTGGAGTCTTCATTTCTTGAAGCAGTATCAGGTATTTGCTTTCTACCTGGCAGAGCTTGGCTTCCAGGCTGGAATACTACAGAGAAAGTGGGAGGTTACCTCTATCCAGACGAGATGCAGAAAAAGCTTCCCGTATGTGGCTCAAGCAAATGACAAGCCCAAGATTATCAGGAAGTGAGCCAGAAACAGACAGTAACAAAGACAAGGTTAATGCATGCCACTGGCCAACTGTTCTGTTTAACATAGCTTCCTCCTCAAGATCTGGCACAGAAGCAGCACTGCTAATCAGAGGCCTGGGTGCCAACAAATGCCACACCTCTGGACAGGGTTGGAGTGAGCAGCAGGGACCAGGTGCCAGGACTGACCAAGCTGGTGCCACCTGGCACATGATCCATAAGTGATCACCCCATGCCATACCACTATTCTTATGACACTATGACCCAGGACCAGCTCCCACCTATCAACTGATCAGACAAATTAAACACACACGGAAAACATGCAGGGGTAAGATTGGATAAATGCTTTAAGATTTGCTCAAAAAATTACACAAGGTATACAGCAGCCACAGGCAAGTGTCATCTGGTTATAATTCAGTTACAAAGGCCAGCCCAATAGCTCAGCAGATTAAAGCACCTGCAAGCAGGCACAGGGGCCAGGGGTTCCATCCCCGGGCCCGCCTCCAGGGTGCGCTGAGAGGGCAATTGAGACTGGGCAGGGTGGCACATGCCTGTAATCCCAGCTCTCTGGAGCGGACCACTACGAGTCCGATCTACATAGTGAGACTCTGAACACCCTGTACACCCTTCCCTAAAATACAAAAAAAAAAAAAAAGTCAGTTACAACTAGAATATTTGTGATCCCATTTACACTCTGCAAAGCCTTTCCAGCCATAATCATGTCTGACTCTCAAACCAATCCACTGTTTCAGAGAGGAGGCAGTATCCTCACCACCCATTTTATAGATATAAAACGTGACATAAATTCGAAATAATTTGGGGAATCCATAGTTATATATAATTTTTCTCAAAACTTCATTTAAACTGCATGTGTTTGATAGAATCCACATCTATAGGCCTTTCTCTGTCTTCTTCAAAGACGAAGTATGTACTACTTGGCTCTACATACCAAACTTACTTTAAATATGTTTTGATACCACCAGTCATCTTTCTCTAAGCTTTTAAAACACATCCATTTAAATGTGTTTTTATAAAGCCATCCCCCTTACCAGATAATAATAGCCTCATACAGACTCACCTTGGCCATCAGATCTCTCTCTCTCCTTTCTGCATTTCTTCGGAGAGCTGAGAGTTCCAGAATTTCCTTATTAAGAAATTTATTTTGGGCCTTGTACCCCTGTAGATTATCCTGTGGGGGAAGGAAATCCCATCAATTCACACTGGCTGGATGTTGGCTAATTACTCTTGTGAGGAGAGCTTGCTGCCTCACCAAACAGTCTCTAAGTTGGGTGACTTCCAAAGACCTGGAGGTTAACAGAAACTTCTGGGTTAATCTTGCTGGTCACCTGTGGCAGCAGAAGGAACATAGTCATGCTGCTGTAGCAAAGAAGGCAAAAGAAATACTGACTTGATGGTGGCGCTTTTTCTCAACTGATGACAGGAGAAATGAACAGCACTTATTTCCTAAATCTATGTAACTATTTTGTTACTCATATTCCTTGAAGTGGTACAAATAAAGTGATACTTTACTTTTTTTTTAATAGAGAAATTGAACATACTCTCTCAAGTTTCCCGTTTTTTTCTTATGTACTTTGTGTAAAGGGAAAAAAGGGGCTATAAACATATAAAAAAGCCCTAGACTAAAAGTTACACTAATAAATTCAGCCTATGATTATAAGGCACGTAAGAAAACAAGCTTCTCAACCTTTTTCCATTGAAGAAGTTCAAACTTATGGAAAACCCAAAGACAAAGTACAATAGGGCTGTGGAGTAGCTCACTGGGAGTGCCTTCCTTGCATGCATAAGACCCTGGTGGCACTGGAAAAAAAACAAGGACCAATGTTTTGTCTCCACCAGAGAATATTACAAAAGCAAGAAGTAACCATTATCAGACACAAAAAAAGAGTAAAATCCAAAAGACAAAAAAATTGTACAGGGCCAGGGAGATGGCTCAGTGGAATAAGTGCTTCCCTGGCAAGCGCAAGGGCCTGAGTTCAATCCCCAGTTCTGCTAAACAAACAAACAAACAAACAAACAAAAAAACAAAAAATCCAAAAAATTGTACAGGCCACATTCACTGACAAGCAAGAAAATGGGCCAGTAACAGAAATAATAAAGTTATCTAAAAATACACTTAAAATATTTAACATGATTTGTTTATATAAAAATATATAGTTGAAAAGTATATACATGTTATTTTCCACCTAGTCATTTTAGATGTGAGGTCAAAGAAGAAATCAGTACTCCCTCTTCAACCATGTAGTCTAGTCCTGGAAAAGGAGAAAACAATGTCAAGATACTGCTATCGAAGTCCTCTCTCAAACCTTTCAGCACTACACAGGAAGTATGCAGTAGGTCTAGGGTCACAGGGACAGAAAAGCTGAGGTCCTGACCAAGGCAGGACTCACGTATCCCACCTGAAAGTGACCTGGCAGCCACTGTCTCTTTATAAGATCCACCCACTGAACATCACAGTTATGGAATTTGGGAGCCAAAGACTTTTAAATGGTTGAGAAATGTTCAAAAAAAACTACTTTATTACTGACCCCAAACATCCCAGCTATTATGCCACACAAAAAGAAATGGAAGGAAGGGTCCACCCTGATCCACCCCATTAGTGATCTCCACAGCCATGGGGAAGGGTCCCCTGCCAGGCACTTGGCTCAGCTTCTGGAGAAATGTGACCCACACCTCTCTCCTGCCCGGTACAGCCCACTATGGCCTGGAAACCCTGGCTCTGGCAGAGTCTGTACCTGTTGCAAACACAGATGTGTTTGCAAAATGAACACTTTCAATAGGATGTATGATTAGGGCTGGGAATAGTCATGGTTCCACACATCAAGCGAACCAACTTCTACTGGTAGCACCAACAAAGACCTCTTCTACAGGAAAAGCTACTTTACAGTAAATGTAAGTATATAGTATGAGGTTGGGGTTTAGTGACTTTTTGATTTTCTCATTAACAAATTCTGCCCCCAGACCAACTGAGAAACGGTCACTATGGGGAGCCATGTATACACTCTGACAATGCCACTATTCTGAAAAACTCCACTAGGGGAAAACATGCCTGGATCCAAGTTACTCACAAAGAGCAGGTGGCCAGGTGCAGAATATTTTGAGCTTGATGGGGCTGGCAATTGGGATCTGCTGAGCTTCCTGGGCTCTGCCCAACATCTCACATCCTAGGAGACATATGTCCATCTAAAACCTCTCAAAAGCTAGTGGCAGAAGAACTTGACGACCCTCTCTATGACTCAAGAGCAGCCCAAGGCCATTGAGCTCTATGCCCTAGATGAGGCTTTTCTGTAGGCACACGAATCCAACCACCTCTCCCTTTCAGAGTGCTAGCCATGCAAACAGCATCTGCTGTCAGTATCCTAGATCAGACCCAGAAAAATCACTGCTTCTCACACAAGGGTGGCCTAGAGATAGATGCCAGGAAGGGGAGTTCTGTCTCCCTTCTTAGCATCAACACCCTTCTACATGGGGTACAGGGGTGTGGGCTTCTTCCATACCCACCTGAGCTGGAATCCACCCCTAGCTGGCCCTTCACCAGCTTGTGCAAGAGTATGTGCAGTGGATGTACAGAAGAGGCAAGAGACCATTTCCACAAAGCCCATGGGATAACAAGGTGCTAGGGTGATTCAAATAGAAAGGGAAGGCTCAGCTGCCTGAAAGCACAGGGGAAGAGATCGGAGATCTGAACCTACTTCAAGCAGAGGCAACAGCATTCACATTTCCCAGGAAAACTATTGGCAATATCAATAGTTTTGATATTGTGAGACGTGTTACACTTGTCAAACACAAAAACAAAAACAGGCAGTGTTCTATCTCACCCAATGAGCTCACAGAGAACAGGACCTCCAGGATGATCTGGCTAGAGGTACCATTTCTGGGAGCTCTGTTCTCATAACCAGAGTCAGTGCCCTGCCCTTACTTTCAGCCTGTCCAGCTCCAGCTGGTCCCTGCTGGCTGGGGCAGCCAGTGGAGAGCCCGGCACTGAGGAAGGGGAAGGCATGCTGCCCTCGCCCTCGCTGAGCTTGATGATGACCTCGTCCTTGGCTTGGATGGTCTCCATCAGCATTCCCAGCCGCTCGTCAAGCTCGCCAACTGTGCTCTTTAAGGTCCTCACTTCCTGTTGCAGACTCTCCTTCTCCAGATTCAGCCGCTCCAGCTGGCTGCTGAGGCCCAAAATCTGATCATCCTTTTGGTGGAGCAGGTCCAGTGTGGCCCCAGGGATCCCCTCGCAGAATCGACCACTTGTAAAATACTTGTCATACTGGGAAGACCGAACTGTCTGCTGCAGCAGCCGGACTAGCTCCTGGGAGCCAAGAAGAGGACAAGGTGAGGTGAGGGAGAGAGTGGACAGGAAAAGGCAGAGACTATAATAGCATGCAAAGAGCAATTGTTGGAATCTGCGGAACCACAGAAGCTTTACTCAAAACTCCTTGAGAGATACAACTAAAGAGGAAAAAATTTACTCCATCAAGACAGTCTGTATGAAACAATGACAGGAAAAGGAAACAATAGACACAAACACTGTCATTAACAATGGTGATGACAAGTATTAATCAAGATTAGAGAGTCTGTAGTCTCTATTCACATTCAGTGAACTGCTAAGCAGTTAGGTCTGATCATGTCAGAGGGAAAGTGCCACTTAAGAGCACCGAACTCACAGTAGAATTGGCCAGAGTACAAAGAGCACTGTCCTGAAACCTCCAATAAGGAGGATGCCCTGTCCTGTCAATCCAGCCTCTCTGGACAAACCACCCAGCGGAGCACCAGTACCTGGAAAGGTGACTGTGGCAGGGTGAAGCTGCAGAGAAAGGCACTTCTGGGAAAAAGGAAACAGGCTGCGCTCCTGTAGTTGGGGACACAGAGGTGGGGAAGGCAGGTGTCTGAAGATGGTTACCTTCTGACTGGTCAGGTCTTTCTTCAGCCGCTCCAGCTCCTCCTGCTGGCTCTGAACCTGCAGCTGCATCTCAGAGGCCTGCCTGACACTGCCAGCACCCGACATTCCCTCGCTCAAAGGGTCTCCACTGCTGTGCCGATTCTTGTACGACCCAATGATGTCTTTCAAAGGGCGCTTGCCTTTGTAGGAGTTACGTCCAAAATCAAAGGGGAACCCTGAGCCAGATACTCCTACACAAAAACAAAACATACTTTATAAGAGCTGACCAAATCATCCTTCTGAACAGTACAATTAAAGAAAGCTTGCTCACAAATCACCCCCCAGGAGTGTGTATTCATCACTCACAAAATATGGGCAGGCTGAGATGCTCCTCTAGCCTCACCTTGTCCTAGAGAAAAACCAGCATGCCTCAAGTCAGAGATGCTGCCCCTATGGGATTCCTTGCTGGACACATAGTACCACATGACAGCCCTAAAAGAAAACTAACGTGTAATTACCCTAAAAGAAAAGTAAGACACAGTGATGCCTGGCTTCCTATTTTGCTAATTTGTGATAAAAACAAAACAAAACCCAAATGTATCTTTTTTAAAGTGTGAACAGCTATTTTAAAATGCAACTTTGCCTATTTTTTTTTCTTTTTTTTTTTGGGGGGGGGGGAGGAAGAGTCTCACTATGTAGCTCGAACTCATAGTAATCCTCCTGTTTTCAGCCTTCCCAGCACTGGAATTACAGGCACGTACCACCATGCCTAGACTCGGTCACAGGCTCAGCACACCCAGAGGCAGGGCCAGCGCAGCATGTGGTGCCAGGGATTGAACCCCAGGCCCTGCAGTTGCCTAAGCAGGCTCCTAATCTGCTGAGCTATCTCGCAGGCCCTTATTTTTTCTTCAAAATCATTTTTTAAAATATTGTGGAATTTGAATAAATTTTAATGCAGATGACTTCAAATATACATGCTATACAAGTTCAATTTGCATGAAGCTGGTAGGCAGGCAAACACCGACATGGTCAGGAGCAGCTCAGTGGCCCCTGAGGTCAGGTAGAAGCTGGAAGGGGCTAGCACCTGAGTGAAGATTGGTTTCATGTTGTGCTGGCTCTATGACAGTTCCTCAAGCCAAACATTCCTGACTTGGGAGGGAAGAATACAAGGAAAGGCCATCCACTTCCTGTGAATAACATGAACAAGTTGGTGGCTGATTCTGAGGGCAGCTCCAGAAATGCCCATAACCCATACAAGCATCTTCTCATTGGGAACAGGCTGGGAAGAGGTGGAACAGGCTGTTAGCAGTGGAGAAAAGATGCTTCAAGAGGTGCTGAGCGTTCATCAGGCACAGAACCCCCCAGTTCCCACTTCCACTTCACTGTTTCCACTAGGAGTCACACGCTCAGTGAACTCCCCCTCCACAGTCCTCCGCTGCAGGAAGCTGCTTCAAGTCACAATGGCCCCATCCTGGGTGTTTTATCAGGCAACCAAGTACACTCAACCTGACTTGATTCAGTGCATACCATTTCCTCATACCTAGATACCACACCACGATCCCTGGAACACAGGAAAGCTTTTTTTCAAATAAATCATAGCAGTACTTGCTCTCCCAAAAAACACTTCCCAGGGCTGGGGATTTAGCTCAGCAGTAGGTTGCCTGCCTAAAAAGCAGGAAGCCCTGGTTCGGTCCTCGGTAACAAAACAAAAAATAAACCAAAAAAGACTTTCCTAAACCCTAACTTCTGGTAACCCGTGCTAGAATCAAGCATAAGGCAAAATTTCTAAGTTATTTATTGTACTTTTATGTTTACAACATTAATATTCTCTTAATAAATCAATGAATCTAGATTTACTATGAAGGCCACTATGAAATGACTCTGAGGAGGATTTAATATTAACCAATTGGCTTTTCATGTTTACCGTGTGAGTTTGCCCAAGGCTTAGGCCCTTGTCTGGAGATGGGCAGCAGGCTCACAGTAAGTGAACCTCTATGAGTCACTGGTCCCCACTGAGGCCTGCATAGACCTGGGAAATTGGGATGTCTCACAGGACAACATAAGGACATAAGGACTGAGGATGTGTGGCTCTAATACCAATTAACTAAAAGGAGACTGCCGCTGTGGACTTTTCAGTCCTATGGTGAAGGCCTTCCTGGAGATAACATAGTTCTCCTAAATTAACATAATGTATTATTTGGAGAAGACCTTAAAGGGATTCTCAAGTCCTGCCCAGATTTCTGCATTTTTTTTTTTAGTATCCCCCTTCTAATAAATGCAGCTAATAAAAAGATAATAAATGCAGGCTGCCCAGAGAAGTTCTTTATCTTCAATCCTAGAAAATCTCTGTGAGGTTTTTGATGCTCCTGGAGCCCTGAAACCATACCATTTGCCTCATTTATTTAAATTTTTACTGTCCACTCATTTGGGAGACTGCAGGGCTGACCATCCAGCAATAACTAAGGGATGATATTAACACAACAGTTAACAGTATTAAGCAAAAGACTGATGGAAAATTTTATGAACACATCAAACTGTAGCTCCTAACCATGATCAACTGTAATAGTGGGAGAGAGAGGGAAAAAAAAAGACATGCTGTGGCTTCAATTATGTGCAACACACAATATCCTAAGCCCTCACGGAAAATATATTCCCACCAAAATTACAAGTTAATACTTAATCTCACCAAGCTTCAGCTTAACTGCAATATGAAGGAAAGGGAGGGACAGAGGAGTATATTAAATGAGCTCCCCAGCAAATACAGTCAGTAAAATCCAGAGGTGGGAAATCCCTCAGTATCATCATTGGGTTTCTGAGCATATGTGACAGGGAAAAGGAAGGGAAAAAAGACAGCAAGGTGTTTTGACAAAAGAGACCTAAGAAGTCAAGTATGGTGACAACAAACTGTAATCCAGCTACTACCTGGGGGCCTAGGGGCCACAAGTTTGAAGCCAGCCTGGGCAACTTTGGTAAATCTTATCTCAAGACAATTTTTAAGAGCTTTAGAAAGGTGGTAAAGCAATTGTCTAACAAGAGTGAGATCCTGGGTTCCATCCCAAGCATCACAACAAAATAAAACAGCAAGAGAGACAACATGACCTGACATTAAATGCAATATGTGGGCTTCATTTCCATCCTCATTTGAATAAACTATTGGGAGACATTTAAGGGAGGGAAGAAAAGGAAACCAGAAGTAGAAAGAATTAAGATGGGCTAGGTATATGAACCAACTCCCAAAATGAAAGCAATCATTATGTACTATAAACATGTACCAATAAAAATAAATAAAAATTATTAAATAAAAATACATTTAAATTGTTTTTAAAAGATACTTAAGGAATATTTTGGAAATTAGGTCATATTAAGATTTACTATAACCACCTTTAGATACAATAATGAAGCTGTATTTATAATGCTTTTAAAGAGTCATTATATCTTAGCAACAGCTATTAAAAGCTAGGTGGGGGCACACACCTGCAATTTCAACCCTTTGGGAAACTAAGGCAAAAGGATCACAAATTTGAACCCAGCTGAGAAAACTTAGTAAGACTACTCCCAAAAAGTAAAAAGATCTGAGGATGTAGTTTAGTGCAAAAGTCCCTAGTGTCACCAAATAAATAAATACAATTTTTAAAAAAGATACTAAGGGGCTGGTGAGATGGCTCAGTGGTCTAAAGCACCTACTTAGAACAAGCTTAGCAAAGCACAGGGAGGTGGTTCAACCCCCCAGCACCACATGCCAGCCCGCCCCGCCCCCTGGTGGGCTAAGCTGGCCACACACACACACACACACACACACACAATAAATAAATAAAAGACACTAAAAGGGCTGGGGAAATGGCTCAGTGGAATAAGCGCTTGCCTGGCAAGCACAGAGGCCTGAGTTCAATCCCTGGTTCTGAAAAAAAAAAAATTTTAAAAGGGCTGGGGAAATGGCTCAGTAGAATAAGCACTTCCCTGGCAAGTGCAAGGGCCTGAGTTCAATCCTCAGTTCTGCAAAGAAAGGAAAACAAATCTGTTACAGTTGTTGACACTCTGGGTACTAGGAGAGAACTGAGGGAAGGAAGAGGGTGGCCTGGGTAGAGAGAGAAGATATCTGAGCTTGCCCTTGAAGGAGGGAAGAAGGCATGAGATTTCATCCACTGAACAGTATTTATAGAGCAGGGAAGCGTGAAGGAATTGGACAAGCAAGGCTACCCTGAAGTTTGCACCTTGTGCTTGCCAGGCAGGTGCTGTACCACTGAGCTATATCCCTGGCTCTCATTTAGGCTTCTCTTGTCTCCTTTCCTACAGGGAACTTCATGGTGAGCTGTTTGAGCTACATCCTGGGGACCAGACAGGGCCTAGAGCTGAGCCTGGCAATTTCTTAGCCTGAGCAGGACCATGCCTCTATTCTTGTCCTTAAAGCAACACCCTTCTCCCTGAGGGCTTCTGGGAGTGTAGGCTCTTCCCCTGCCCGGGCTTCCAGGGAGTCTTGTAGGGTGCTGGGCAGAGCCTGTCTTGAAATCAGACAAGGCAGCTGGAGTTTAACCCCTTTTCTGCTGCTCACTGGCTTTGTGACTTGGGCAAGGTATTCAACTTCTCTTTCCCTCCCTCCCTCTTGTTGTTGGTTTTTTTTTTTT